ATCCTCTAGGGGGGTCCGGGGGCATGCATTTTTAAATGTTGAAGTTAAAAGCATCAATCTGGTGCACTTTGAGAGCAACATTAGGAGATCTATGGATACATCTCTCAACACCCAGATGAAACAGAACTTTAAACAGATTTTCTTTTTCTTTATGGATATTTTACAAATCACTCTCCTTTTAAACTGTATTCTTGTTTATTAATAACAACTTGTTTTTACTGTCATATAAAGACATTACAAAATGATTAATGTAGAAAACAATGGAACAGTACGGAAGAGGATTAGGGCCACATGATTTTTTTTTTGGGAGGATAATGTGGCCCTAATCCTCTTCCGTAGAACAGTAATGAAAGTATCCGATGGTTGCAGAAAAACATACAACACAAAATATGAGATTTTATACATCCTTCCACTTCTATGGCTCACTGTAGAATATGTTTCCATCTTATTATCTGCCTTCATGTGTCCTATCCTTTTTGTCTCTGCAGATTTGGACCCAAGGAGGAATACATGTATTTCATGAATGAGTTCCTGGAGATGGAGTGGGGCTCTATGCAGCAGTTTCTCTACGAGATTTCAAACATGGAGGCTGGAGGGAACGCTGGAGGGTTTGAGGGCTACATTGACCTCGGCAGAGAATTGTCAATGCTCCACAGCTTACTGTGGGAAGTCATGGGCCAGCTTAGCAAGGTAGGTGCAATAACACACTGGAACATTACAATTAAACATTTAATATGATTTATTTCTCTGATTTAAGATTGTAGAGAGAGGAGAAGCTGGAAAATGAGTTTCTGCAGTTCTCTATCTATCATGCACAGGATGAATATTATTTGAACTCCATTAAAAGTGAGCTGGAATTACTGCTTTAATATTTAATATATTGCTCGCACTGTTAATTTATCAAAACTGGACGGTAAATGAAAGTTTAAATATATTAGGCTCGGCACTAAATTGTCTTAAAATGTTTTGCTTTTTGAAATGGCTGTGCTCTGTGTTTCAAGACATTCTGTGTTTTATAAATGACATTGAATTGTACCAGTGACTCATGAATCACAGTGTATGCGAGTCCCTTGGTCACGGTACACTTGAGCTTGGAATATCTTCTACATGGCTGCAAAAAAGTGAAATAATCTCTCTCCTGATACAATTCAAACACCTCAAATAGGGATATCTGCTGATTTTAAAGCTCTCCATATCCTAAATACTTTTAAAACATGCAGGAAAATAAATGAAGCTAGAGTAGGTCATCATGTTTACCTTTTCCTGCTCAGAGTTGAACAGCTAACACAATAAAATCCTGGGTGCAGGAAAGGTTGGGTATACTTCTCTTATACAGCATATAAGCATTTGGATTTCCTTGATTTCTGAAACCATTTCCTACTGTAGGATGCTATTCTGAAACTCGGACCCCTGCCCCGGCTGCTGAATGACATAAGCGTCGCCCTGAGGAACCCGCAACTCCACATGCCTGCAAATCAGCAGCCGGACCGACCGAAGGACAGACTCTTCTCGCGGCCATCGTTCAACCGTCTCATGTCCTCTGACTTCCAAAGCCTTATGATGCGTGACTTAAACAGGTATGGTTTCCTTTGTTATGTATTTCTATTGTTATTACTTCTGCTCGTGAAATGGGATTTGCATGTCCTCAAAGAGTACCGAGCCAAGATCCTTCTAAATGTGAGCAGAGGATTGATCCCTGCTTTTCAAGACAATGTGCAAGGTCATCATTTTAAATGTGCACCACATTAGAAAGAAATAACAATTTCTAATGGGTGTAATTAACTGTAACACACAAAAAAAGGGCCAAGAACGTACAGTACATGACCATTTAGTTGATCAAAACATTCATATTTTTGAAGGGGCTAATGCAAAAGCACCTCTTAAGGCTTTTTAAGTAATTAATCAATCAGTAATTGCCAGCACCATCTGTTCCCAGACTCTCTTACCCACACCTCTTTCTTCTGTGTTTCAATTCATGTCAGCACTTTGCAATTGCCACGAGACAGTTGCTCTAATTACAGAAAGACTGTTTGAATAAGAACTCTTTAAGTAAGAGAAAAAGAGCCATTAATTTAGAGCACTTTTGGAATTATATTATTCCAAGTAGTAGTCTGTTGGAACACAATCTGCAGCAGTAAACAAGGAAATGAACGAGAGAGAGACTCAAATCAGCTAAATTCACACGTTTCAGAACATTATGCAACAGTTTCATGATACATCTTGCGAGGTTGTTGCAATCCAATAAAATAGACCTGTGCATAAATTCAAATGACAGAACTCTTTTGTGTCTCTCATTATGAGGTGAGAATAGCAAGTTTCATTTTCATGTGAAATGCTGCGTTATTCTTTAGAAAAACATTCTTTGATATCATCTTTGATAAAATCACTCACACTGTAACGTCTTGCAAGCAATGCTGAAGGGCTGAAATGAGACATTGCCTCATATTAAGGGCTCACGAGCAAAAAGGTGGTTGGGAACATCTATCCTCTGCTAACACTTGTATTTCTCTACAGTCCATAGTTAAACATTAAATGGTGTAATAATAAACCCATAAGTTTGTAATGACTTTCTGTGTGTGTGCAGTTCAATAGACATTTCCCGCCTGCCCTCCCCTACGACGGGAGTCTCAGCTGTGGAGTCCCTATCATCGAATCTGAACATGAGACGCCATGCAGAGCGAGACCTCCGCTCGTCGAGGGAAGTGTTCTACGTGACACGCCCGCCGCTGGCCCGATCCAGCCCCGCCTACTGCACCAGCAGCTCGGATATCACTGAACCGGACCCAAAGGTGCGTAGCATAGAGTACAGTAGTTCTGTGAGATGATTAATGTCTTATTTCTTGTTTCTTAACCCTTCTCTGCAAGTATCAGCCATATAATACTATAATAAGAATGCTAGCATATTAGCATTATAAAATAATCTAGTATAATGTGACTGATTTGACTTTAGTATCACACTATCATCGACTCACGGTGAGCACTTGATTGCTCTCTTTGTTTCTGATTGACTTGGAAAACCGAATATGGGTGAACTATAATTTAACTTGAGATCATAATAACAGGTTTTTGGTGATGTGTTATATCAGAGCCATTGTCAAGTCTTGTATTTGATTTGATAAAATAGATCCTAATTTTCCTAATTAATTACATAAATGCATCAAAAGGACATTAGGTGATTGTCGCCTCACAAATGAATTAGTCATTAATAAACTATTATGAAAGTTCACGTGAAATCATATAGCATTTTTTAACAAGACGCGATATAAATGTTAAAAAAATAGTTGCATGTTTTTATTTTAAAAAAGAAGGAAAAGAAGCTGAAATTGAAAACAACAAAGAACAGAATGTATACCGTGTAAAACAACAAGTAGAGACTGTAAAGCGTCTTTGAGTTCATGAAAAGCGCTATATAAATATAAACTATTATTATTATTAGAATTTCTATATAACTGCCTATACGTGCTTTCTAAAGGCATCAATATAACTATGTATGACATCCAAATGTTTCTAATTTAAAACCACAATACCAAAATTGACTGCACATAACTGTACTGTGTTTTTATTTACAACAAAATCTGTCCAAAATCCAGCTACTAAAACGTTGTATTGTTTCTCTCAGATCCATAGTGTAAATAAAAGCGTGTCCATGATGGACCTCCAGGACTCCCGTATGAACAGCATTTCCAACCTCAACTCTGTGGGAGACATGCTGACCTCCTCTCAAGCCTCCATTGCCGGCCTGGGCCACAGCTTCGGGAACCTCTGCGGTCCCCTCCGGATGGGGGGGCACCTGCCGGCGGGGTCCGCGGGCTCCGCTCTGAGGCTGAGCCAGATGGGCCACATAGGGGGGCCCACCGAGTCCATCTCCCAACAGCAGCAGCAGGCAGCAGCGGCCATGCACTTCCCCCTGTCTTTCCAGAACCCGCTATTCCATCTGGCCGCCCAGAACTCTCCGGCTCAGCCTCAGCCTCACCCCCCTCCCCTCCTCCTCGCCCCAGAGCCCGAGAACGGTCACCACGACTATGCACCGGCTTTTGGCAACAGTGCTTTCTCCCGCAGCGAGGACTTGTCCGCCCTGCGGTCACAGAGCAGTCTGGTGCAGCCCAGCATCGTCCACTCACACAGCTACAGCGATGATTTCACCCGGCAGAATCAGAGCAACGACTACGCCTGGCACCAGCTGTCACTGCAGGTGCAGGTAGGAAACTCTCACTTATCTCCACACTTCAAATATCACAGAAAGACAGTCTGTAACGATATGCAGCAGTCAGTTCTACTTACTTATTTTTTAAATATCTAAGATGCACAATAATTATTTAAAGGTAATAATGATAACGATAGTATTTGCAGCTATCAAGATGTTTGCTACTATTCAATGTGATCAATGATTGAGACAAGACTGTCTGCCCACAATGTCAGTAACATTTACAAATGTACAAAATAAACTACAATATGATTTGACATTTAAATAAAAAACAACCTTTTTCTTTTAGTAAAAACCAGTTAAGATAAAGATGCTGAAGATGACAATGTGTATCAATATTTTCACTTTGCATAGATATTTGAATTTGATTAATATTTCATTTGATATCATACCTAGCTTTACCCTTTTATCCATACTGTTGATTACCATAAAAGAAACCTTGACTGGTAATATATGTATAGATGCAACACATCTCTCCTGTAGGAATCTATAATTTAAGGTTTGGTTGAAAGCTGTGTAATGTTACACCTTCCATAGCTCCTCCTTTTAAAGGCAAACAGAAAAATGAATAGATTGTAAACCAAACTCTGTAACAACGGAAAGTCTTTCTGCTTAATACTGGATAAAACACCACTACATCAGGAAAGACATTGGTATCCATGTTCACACTGAGCTTTGGTTGAATAATACCCAGTATGCTTTGGTGGTTTAAACAGAGCGCCACTAGGGGGAGAACTTTCTGTTTGTCCATGAACGCACTTTGCTCTCTCCTTTCTGTTGTTCACTTGAATCTGTTGCATGGATCTCAAAGTGCCTCTATTTATGTTTAAAATAATTCAGATCTTATTGTTCATCTTGTGAATGTGTTTTGTTTATTTTTTGATACTGGCTGGTACCCTTGTTCTTGGTTGATTGGCTGTCAGACATCTTATAGTTTACACTAACTTCATATTAAAGCATTGTGTAACAAAGGCTGTTGTTCAAGACAAAACAGGTAGCCATTTAAAACTTAAAATATTTTTTAGTGTAGAAATAAGGTAAAACAAAATTGCACTACTGGAATTCTCCTTATTTTTAATGATATTTCAACACTAAATGGTTGTAAAGTAAAACACAAAACGTGTTGGACTTCCTTTACTGCAGTATACGTTGCGCATTAGTAGATCTTCTGGCTCATGTCCCTTATTTTAGCTACTATTTTCTTCATTTAAGCATTTCTTAATTTCAATACAAACGCAGTATTTTCATCATCACTGCTGAATTGAAGTGAAGACAGTCGCAGCCAAGATAACATTTTTTCAGTTTTTCTTGAAAAGTACCTGGATTGTTTTTGATCTATTTCAGGCCAAATTGCCTGATGTCTTGTCATTTATACGTATGTGATTTTAACACTGTGGTTGAGCTACAGAAATGTCTTAATGGTTTCACTCTTGCAGTTAGATCCTGCTTGTCTAGGAATTTGTACTGTGTTCAGAGTTGATTCACAGTAAAGATGCAACGATGAGCCAAAAAATATTTGGACGATCAATTAATCAGTAATTTTTCATGCAATATGGTAAAATGCTGTTTTCAGCCTCTCCAATATGTAGATTTACTCACTTTCTTTATCGTAATAAACCAAAGCTCTTTGGGTATTGGACTGAAAAAAAACTTGGAAGATGTTTTACTCTTTTCTGACATTTATAACCAAACGATTAATCTAGAAAAAAAATCCTAAATGGAGAGCAGGTAAATCAATAATGAAAATCATTGTTGGTTGCACCCCTGAGTTTGAGGTTAAGGAACAAAATAAAACAGGAAATGCCCTCACAAGAGAAGTGCAATATGCAAATCTAACAGTGATTCATCCAACGCTTTTGATGGATGCTTGTAATTCTGCAGACAACAAAAACTGAAACAGGATTTCTCACTGGTCTGAACGGTGCAGGGTGCTCGACACCAATCATGCTGTGTGTCCTTGTTTCAACAGGCTGGAAAACTAGCGGTCATAATTGTTGATACTACACATATACATACTTTAACCCTCTGTGTACTGCATATACGACTCTTGAGAGTATAGCCTTGCTAGTAAAAATGGACTTACTTTTGTTGAGTTTTTTTTGTACATTAATGCATTTACAATTTGTACAATTACTGTCAACGTTTTTCTTTAAAACACATTAGTGCCCACATTATGGACTTTAATTAAACTGTCACTTGTTTGCTAAAGTTTAGTTAGGATAATTGTGGTTTTGGAACAGCTTTTTGGTTAATCTAAGGCAGCTTCTTTAACCATTGGTGATGAACTCGGTGTCTGCTGATCTATATCACACTGGTTTACGACAGCATCTCTATGTAAAATCATAGTTTAATGATACAGTCATGTAGTCTCAAGCTATTTCTGTCGTGCTGCGTGGGCCTTAATGGAACAAACATCACAAGCCTCCTTTTTATTAATACAGATGGCGTGTCAGAACAGGGCATTATCTATCCGTCAATCCATCTCTACCTGACTCTATACTGCTAGACAGCAAGCTACATGTGTATTCATACATTCTGCTGTTTGTTCATTAAGCACTAAATAATTTAGAGAGATGACAAATTTCTGACAGTCCAGACCTCTAAGGTCCACTGGGACAGGTCTGTTTGTTTCCACAGAATCATAACAAACAAACATCAGCATTCAGTTTTTGTGCAACACATACTGTATCTGGAACAAACCCAGGAAACCTGATGTCTGCTCCAATTCCAATGGTGTTTACTGAAGGCTTAAAATGTTTCCATTTGCCACTAAATTACAATTGTATTTCCTTTATATCTTGCCCTTTCACCACAAACAGAGATGGCAAAAGTACACACATCCATACTCAAGTAGAAGTACTCAAGTAGAAGTACAGATACTCGTGTTTAATAGAAGTACTGACTAAACTTCTTTACTCAAGTAAAAGTATGGGCTTTGAAATGTACTTAAGTAAAAGAACCCATAACTACCAACTGTTTTAAAGAGTAACTGGTAACTGTACCTCACTTTATATTAATAGAACATTAAAGATCTTCTATTTCAAGTTGTAATTATGTCATTGTTAGCTAATGAATGTTTCAACACTTGAACAACAACCATTTAGAACAAGCAAAGAAAAACTAAGTGGGGATATAAACGCCTACATTGTAGATTCTAGGGTGACTCCACCTCTTCCTTGGAAACAACACAACAATTACTATTATGGTAATGCTTTAAAAAAAAACTGAATTGAAGTGAGTTATATGGTGAACTTTATTTAAAATTGTGGGATCAATTAATGAACAACCCAACTAAATAATCGTGTTTGTGTGTGTATTTGTTTGTGTGCGTCTGTTTGTGTGTGCAGAATGATAGACAGCAAGTGGAAATGATGGATACACGGATCGTGTTAAAATCAATATGCACAATAACTAAATAATAATGATCAGGCCACCAAACGCAGATTAAAACTAAAGTTACGAGTCTGTTTCGAAAATGTAAGAAGTAGAAAGTAGAGGTATTTGTGTTAAGAAGTAAAAGTAAAAAGTCGTCAGAAAGATAAGTAGTGGAGTAAAGTACTTGAGCACTGTAACATTTTTTAAAAAGTTTACAATATTCAACAGTTTTATAATCAAACTTACCATTTTTTTTTTATGTGTTGATGCATTTTTTATATCTTTAAAAAAATCACTTGAAAACTCTACCTGTTCTTTTTGTCCACCCATTGAAGTCGCTGAGTGTAAAACATGTGTTGTACTTTCAAATGATTCAGATGATTTCTTTATTTGAAGGATAAATAGCCAGTTAAAGGTCTGCAGTGAATGTGCTTGAAAAGGGCGGCAATGTGTTCTGCTGTTTGGCTTTGTGTCTTTTTGGATTTAACCACCTGGGCGCTGGAAAGTTGGATATTTTCATGCTCGACACAAAATGAGCTTCAGTACACATTTGATTCATTTTCTTTTTTTTGTCTCTTTCCTCATTCTCTGCTCTCAGGAGTCTCTCCAGCAGCAGCATATGATGGGTGCCGCATCTCAGACCCCCACAGGGACGGGCACCCCCGCCTCCCTGGCCACACCACCCACCACAGTTCACCCTGTCCGCCAGTCATCCATGGCTCCGCCACAACACCTCAAGTCACAGCGGTCAATCAACACTCCAGTCACCGCCACACCTCCAAAAGTTCGCCCGCAGAGCAGGAACCTCCTCCTCGACTCTTCGGAGGGCAACTTCACCGGCAGTGGGCCAAAATTGCGCCATCCACGGCAGCAACATCAGCAGCAAAATGAGCATCAACAGCAGCTACATCAACAGCAGCAACTTCAACAGCAGCAACTTCAGCAGCAACTTCAACAGCAACTTCAACAGCAACAACTACAACAGCAGCAACTACAACAGCAGCAATTACAACAGCAGCAACTTAAACAACAACAACAACAACAACAACAACAACAACAACAGCAGCAGCAGCAGCAGCAGCAGCAGCAGCAGCAGCAGCAGCAGCAGCAACAACAGCAGCAGCAACAACAGGAATCGCAGCTGTCGTTGACTGACAGTCCTGCTCCCGGACTCCCTTACCAGAATAGCTCTGCCAAAGAGAACCAGGGCCCGCAGGCAGCAGCAGAGGAGTCAACAGACACTCCCACAAAAAACACCAAGAAGTCTCAACAGACACAATTGCAGCCGCCACAGCCGCCACAGCCGCATCTGCTCAAACCAGGCAATAAACAGGTCAATCTCACTACAGTCTCCTAAGTTAGAGCTTGGCGGTTCTTACATTACACAGTTTGCCATTACATTGACATGTTTTTAATGTATTACTAAAATGAAGATCTGAAATAAAGCGTTTTACTGTTTTTTGTTTCAGGGTTCTCAGTCGACTTTGACCACCACGGGCCTCAATGAACGGACAGTGGCCTGGGTGTCCAACATGCCCCATCTCTCTGCTGACATTGAGAGCCTGCGGCCGGACCGTGAGGGTCAGCTGAAAGAGTACTCCAAGAGCATGGACGAGTCCCGACTAGAGAGGGTCAGCGCATTTGATTTATTACCAGCTCTTTTCTTTCTATTAATAGGTGACAGTCAATCTGTTCTGCCCTATAATAGTAAATATCAGAACTATGACAAAATCATACATGAATTACATAATGGTGGCTGTTTTCTGGGATAAACAACTCCCACTGACTTTCCTATTTTTAGAAACACATGTATCTGCAGTGCTTATTGCACAGCAGATACATGTGTGAATGCACACATTTAAGATGACTGTAGTCCCAATGCAGCTTTGTATAGTCTTACCCATTGAAGCTTATAAAGGAAGCTGCACAACAGACCAGTGTCTTTATTGATAAAATGACTCGTCATTTAGGAATATTTCTGAAAACAGATGGTGACACAGGTGCATTTTTGTTTTAATTTTAGGCAAAAGAGTATGAAGAAGAGATTTTTACCCTGAAAGAGCGTCTCAAGATGTCTCATCGCAAGCTTGAAGAATATGAGCAGAGACTCATGTCGCAGGAACAGCAGACAAGCAAGATCCTAATGCAGTACCAGAACCGCCTGGACAACAGTGAGCGGCGTCTAAAACAGCAGCAAGTGGAGAAGGACTCTCAAATCAAAGGCATCATCAACAGGTGATAAGGGTTCAGGTTGAACTACAGCTGGCAGAAGTACGGCTATGATGCAACTAAGGTTTCTCTATTGCAACGCATTTGTCATACACGTTTCTACTTGGTAAGGAAATTAAAACAAGCTTTTCAGTAAGTCACTCAAAGTGCAGCAAGTTATTGATTGCAGCTTTACAAGCGCAGTTTGAATGCTACAACAAAATGTATCTACAGGGGAATGTATACAGTATGCAAGAAAAGGTTACAAGTGCTGAAGGGCTTAATTAATCTGGTTATTGGTAGGAATGCCTCCATTTAAAGAAATGTTTTAGTCTGCTGTACATACTGTGACAAATCTATCGGTGGTCAGTGAAGACAGAAATATCCAACGGCAATATGTCCTGAAATGTAAGTTATTTAGTACATGTTTGTGTTCAGTTAAATGCAACTTGCATGATTGTTATTTACCAATTTTCATGGTCTTATTTGATTTACTTTCTTGCTTGGAAGATACTGCTCTCAATTGTGCGTGAGTCAGGACTTAGCATAGCTTAGCATAAAGACTGGGAACAGGGCGGAAAAGCTCCTACCTTAAAAACCAGACCAACTCATTTCCAATCAAAGAAGCTGTGCTCGCTCCAAAAGTTTCTAAATTTAGCGAGAACATTAGCAACAAACAGTTTTTTTTTTCTGACAATTGTGCGTGGGTGAATTTTCATATAACTGCCCCGTTTTGATTAGCTAGCTGTCTGCTCTGCTGCTTCACATGGGCTTGTTCCACCTTCACCAATGATGCCCATTTTGGGATTAACCAGGATTTCGAAGTTGGGTTCGCTGCTGAAATGCCCATTGTACAAGCCGTCCTCATTCAGCTTCACAACAGTCAATGTTTTAAATACATAATTTGAATGCAGCCATCTCCTAATATTCGCAAAACAGTAGTGGGTGGAGACACGCAGTAGACTTTCCATTTTTCTTTTACAGATTCTTCCAGAAATGTGCATACATTCCTGACCTAAAGACAAGCCCACTCAACATGCTCCATTGTACCAGTACTGTGTAGTCGGAAACCCTAGTACCTTTAACGCCCAGAGATGAAAGTAGTATTGATGTTATCATTCAACTCTCAGAGAGAAATCAAAAAAGCAAATCTAAAAATATTTAGAAATTGAAGGTTAGTTCAATAGCAATAACAATAGTACCTATAAAATCATACCATTAAGGCTCATGCTTTAACATATACCTTTTTAAGAGATTGGTTTTATTGGCTGTAGCCATGTGTACTTCTACTTCCGACCCAATGAAATGCTTAGTGCATTACATTCAATTTATCTTTGTATAACTGGAGTATACAGAGCTCACATCTCATCTCATTTGGTTGAAAGTCTCCTCGAGTTGAATTAAACTTTTCCTCTGATTACAGACACAGCAGATAGGCGCACACTTAACTTTCCTACACACACCCATTTCAAGTTGTGCATCTGAACAGCTGAATTTGAACTTCCCAAAGTGTCCTGAAGGCAGCTCAGATTCAGCATCAGGAAGCTCTGAGGATAGCTGAACACACACAGAAAGATGTCAAGACCTTAATATCATCATATGGCCACGTAATCTTAGAGTAAATTTGAAGAACACCGGCTTCGTACCCTTATTTATTTATTGTCAACCGGTATGCTTGTGTCTATTTCCCTGTTGTCAGACTCATGGCTGTGGAAGATGAGCTGAGAGTGGGTGCCATTCCTGATATTAAGCCTCGAATCCTCACTGACCAGGTTTGTGCCTGTGTCTACATCTTTATCATCCCTATTTGCTAAGCCAGTCATGTCCTAAAACAGCTTGCATCATTCTTACATCACATTCAGCGCATTTGCCAAAGCCAGTGCAGGGGAAAAGTTTGCAGCTGTCATACACTTCAACTGTTCCCATCTCTCTAAAGTACGTTTATGTCACATCTGAAATACCATTTCACCAGTTCACTGCACATGCTGGAGCGGAGAGCAAAAACAAGGATGCTAAAATTCAAGAGCCGGAATGCAGCTTAAAGTTATGTGCAGCGATTAATGTATTTCTGGGAAGGAATAGCAAGTCTTCAACACTGAAACTCAATAATTTTTCCACAACAACAAAAATATGACTCAGAAGCATTCATCATTAGAAATCCTTGACTGTGACTCACCAGCTGCGTCACAGTAATTCTGCAGGGCTCAGCGTCGTGAATGCACCGTGTGGATTGGAAGATGTGGAGTGTGTGTGTGTGTGTTTTTGTTTGTACTGAAATTACAACTTTAGCTGTCACTGAAATACACAGTCCCCTTATTTCATGACTCAATTTCAAAAGCAGATAGAAGTTGCTTCTTTAAAACTCAGACCTAATATAGAAGAGTTTCTTCACTGCTCTGAGATAATAGTTTTTGTGACTTTTCAAACAAAAGAGTGTGTGAAGAGAATGCCGTCCAAACATTGCAGCCCAATTTAGAGTGTTGTAAAGCAGGTTTGGTTTGCAAGCCGTTTTTTTGGCTCAAACTTGGGTCAAAGCTATAAAATCGAACTCATCAGAAGCATTTGGTATCATACTCCAAGTATGTGTTGAGAAATGCTATTCCTTCAGAGAGTGTGGCAGAGTCTGGATGAATGTGTGAATGTAAACAGTTATTTCCCATAGACAAAACTGAGGATTCAGATTTAAAGGAATATCAACATTTCGGGAAATATGTCGAGAATGCTTCCTTGCCAAGACTTATTCTGCGTTATAGACAATTTGACACGAACCTGTTCATAATGCTACTTCAAAATGTACAAAGAAATGCCTCTGAAAGCTTGAGTCCTTACTTTTGAACTTCATCTACCCCAATTGAAAGAAAGAGATGTTTGATGTAGACACAGTGCACATTTTAAATAGTTAGCTATAAAATATAAGGCAATTTAAAGTGTGTTTGCCTGTATTTAATTCAAATAATACACGACATGTGTCCAATGTTATTAGAAAACTGGTTATGGTAAACAATCTCTGAAAGATTTCTTCTCTGCAGTTATTTGGGCAGACTGCACTGCTGTGAGTTTAACATTGTGTACACTTGCCAACGAAACATGTTAGTGTGGCGTCGTGCACTATGAAAGCTGGAGGTTGAAAATTGGACATTTCAATTGGGGAAATCTTGGCTTAATATGAGAAGAGTGTCACCACTCTCATGTCTGAATGTTAAATATGTAGCTTGAACTAGAACTCTGTTAGCTTATCACTAAGACTGGAAACAAGTGAAAACAGCTAGCCTGGCTCTAACCAAAGATGCAAGTACTAACATGGAAAACAACAATTTTCTGTTTTTAAGGGGGTTATTTGTTGGACTATTTCTTGGCCAGGAGCAGTAACTTCTCCAGTCTCTGCTGGTTGCTCCCAGCCAAGAAATGCTCCAGAACACGACACCCTTTAAAATGAAAAAAAAAAATAATTCACACTTCCGTTTGGGTACGGCTTAAACAAACAACTTATAATGTGTTAATAATTAGCTTTAAAGGTGCTGGTAAACAGATTTTGTTGCCTTTGAACAGAAAATAATAAATAAGCTAGCCGTTTTCCTGTTAGTAGCTATGCTAGGCTAAGCTACATATTGAATCTTACAGACATGAGTAGCATTTTGGAGAGTGCTCTTTTTATCTAACTCCAGGCAAGAAAGATAATAAATACACTTCTGAAAAATGTTGAACTATTCCTTTAAACCTGCGTCTTTGTAAAGCTGTAAATGGAGATAAGTTGTTTCTTCATCTGTCTTCAATCTATCAACCAGGGTTATGGCCATCCAGGATCCTGACTGTCAATACCAAAGTGACCAGAGCTCATGATGGTCACTCAAGTGTAACACACATCCTACAGAAACCCATGAAGAGAAGCCCTGCAGTAGATCCCGCAGGACCACTGGAGGCTTCATCTCACAACGTTCTTAAAAAAACTTTGCACATATTGAAACTTTGCCTGTACCAGAACTTGACAATCAGTTTAGCAAGAGGACCAACGTGTGCAGTGAGTCGTCTGCACATTTTTGACCGAAAGATAAGCCAATGCCACACCAATGGCAATACTGAACCTAATGAGTCTATTTATTTAAACTGGAGAGTGAGAAGAATTGTGCAAAAATCTGGGAATGAAGATGGATTTATGATTTTCCCCGCTACAAACAGCACACTCATTTCTCACTTAAGTGGCTGCAGAGAAAATGTAGAAAAGGCTTTTAGAAGCAGAATATCCCCTAATGGTGACGCCAGTTTCATCTATATTCCTTGGATACAGGGCCCAACAAAGACCTATATTACTATTTGATCTGATTAAATCATTTAGTAACATGTTCCCGCTGCAAAGGTGGTTATCATTATGAATTTAACACCCTTTTTGCATCCTTCATATTACAGCCATCCCATGTGAATAGATGCCAAACGAGACTTACAATCAATGAACTGCTTTAAATACAATCTAGACCTGCTGTTGGTTACATTTTCCTTCGGTACACAGTGTAAAGCCTGAAGTGTATAGAAAAGGTATTTCTTGAAGCTATTCAACTTTATAACATTGAAACATTTACATAAATAATCTGGCATTATAATGTGTTCTGTTCACTTTGTATTCATAATATTAATCATAATAAAAAAAAATATATATGACATTTCAAAACAATGATACAAAGTGCTCCATTAAACACCTGATGTGAGGGAAGGACCATGTGAAAATGTAGGAAAATGTTTAATCCATGTTTAATCCATGATCCAAGGTCCTTACTTTTAATGCAATGCCATAGACAGGCGTCCTTTATTTCTAAATGAAAGACTTGCCACTTACGGCATAGGGCTGGGTATTGTTTAATAAATGAGTACCCTTACAGTGATACTGATACCAATAGAGTACTTAATTTGATACCTTTTTTTATATTCCATTAGATACACATCATGTGAATGGAAACATTCAAAAAGTTCAAATTCTAAATTAATTGATGTGTTTTTAAAAAAAATGTAATTTATATTCCCAGTTTTTCATTTCATTATCACTCCCTATGCATTTCAGCATGCTTAACTGCCAGTGAAATACTCCACTCGACTTCAGCACCGCACAGACTGTACGGGTACTAGCTGCTGCGTGGCCGGCCAATCACAATTCATATTTAATTTAAGCCTTGTGGTGATTGGCTATTAGCGAACATACAAACACATTTTTTTTTTACAAAAAAAGGATCAGATGCAGGAATCCTAAAAGGTGATAAGTACCGATACCCAGCCCTATTTCGACTTTTTTCATGATAATATAGTCACATTGTATGAATGTAGTTACAGCTGGCAGCAACCCAATCACGTCAGGGCCCCAACCGTAAAGCTGTGGTGTGAACAATCCGATAATGTGCAATCAAACCTCACGTTCACATGTTTTCCTTTATTCAGATAGGACATCCAGATTCAGATCCAGGTTAATTACATTTTAAATGGGGTCCGGATCGGTCTGCCTCAGCTGCTTTCATTGTTTTTATAATCTTTAATTGAAGTGCAATACTATATCCCTGGAGTGCCCCCTCCTCCTTTTAGGGAACACAAAGTACACTTCATCTGTTTAACATCGTCTTTAAGGAAAGGGATGTTATGAGAGACATCTAATAGATGATACTACAGCTCCTCTTTAGTTGACAGCTCCTAATGAATGTTTGTCTCATGGACCGTTGCATCTGAGAGACAGTATGGGTCTAAAGCCTAAACTAACTAACTAAAGTAATAAATCAACTGAAAAATAGATCCAATCATGGCCTTCATTTCTGCCATTTTTATGATGCATCTTTTTAGCCCTTTCATGATTTGTTGAACAGCACTTTGTAACATTGGTTCGAAAAGTGCTGTAGAAATACATTTTTTTTAAATTACTATGATTATAAACATTACGTGCAACTGGAAACAAATCATATTATAGCAAGTAGTGAATTACTCATCTGTTGTGTTTAATGTTTCTAAAGCATTGGTGTGCAACAGTTCTGCATGTGCTTTTTAAATGCAAGGACGAGTAAGTCGATTTGTTGTCAGATATTATTCGAATGTACAACTTTGACATGGCTTTCTATTGGAAGGCAACCTTTTTTTATCCAGCCTGCTAACTCTTCTGTTTTTTTCAGAAGAGGGTGGCATTCAGCCTTTTGCATTATACAACATGAAAGTACTGAGAGTAATGACACGAAAACAAAAAGCGACAGTGAAAACAGCAGAACAATAAAGAGTTTCCACGCAGGGATATGTAGTATATGTGCATAGGATTTGACTGCCTAAACAGTCTGTGCCACAGGGCCCAAAATAACAATGCCAATACAAAAAAAACTTGTACACTTTGTATATTAAATGTCCTTTTTTGTAGTCAGGTGATGAATTACTAAGCAGTGTGTTGGTTTACTCTGTATGTTCAGAATCATTTATATTATACATTCATGGATTGATATAATTTATCTTAACCTCTTGCCTTTAAAAAGACATTTTCTTTCAAGATAAATAGCAAATTATACAAAGTTATATGTTTAGGTTACCAGAAATGTATAAAATAGCTTAATGTATATCTATTCTTATATGTAAAATGTATTCAAATCAAGGGTAGGCCTTCAGGCATGTTGAACTTGTGGTAAAAACAGATTATTATATTATAAACTCTTAATGCTGCAATCCAGAAACTACAGTGCTACGGTGTGACTGCGTTCATGGGATGAGAGCTAAATAATTTCCTAGCATAGCACATTTTTGTCCTGTGGAATAATAAGACACATTCTTAAAGTATCTCGCCTATGTTTGGGTAACCAAATTAGCAGTGGTGCTTTCAACAATACTGGGTTGCAGTTTTAAGTAATCTTTTAAAAAATGCATTTGATTTATTTGGCCTGCATTGCAATACAGTATGTTGAAATGTTATACTGCACTTCTGTTTGCATTGTATGAGAAGCTGCTATCCTAATCTGAGAGATGTTTATAAACACATACAAATCTATAATATGCCCATGTATTCTTATCTTTGTGTTAGCTGCAGTGGTACAGTGTGCTACCTCTGAAATCATTATACCACAAGAGAGGATGCTTTATTCCATGTGGCTAATAAACCTTAGTTAATTTAAGAGACAGTGCTAACAGAAAATGTTTTCTTTGCTGGTTGCTCGTTTATTTAGGATTTACTATGTATACTGTTTGTCATCACAGGGCCATTTCTAAAGTTTGTCCTGTTTACTATTGTATTTAAGTGCCGTTAGCATTACATTCATACACATTTCCTTCTAAAAAGAGGATGAGATTAATCGTGTTCCTGGTAT